CAGTTAAATGATTTTGCACACACGTATTTTATTTCTTGATGACTGCTTAGCCTCACAGAGGGCCTAAGTGACTTTAGGTGGGATAACCGGATCTGTTTGCTCTGGAGAAGCAAGCGCAAGTCCTCCAAGGAAAGGCCGGGAGGCAGATGGCTGGCTATTGTGTTACAGCCATCATCTGCTGGGTCATGAGCAAATAGTAAGTGAAAAATATCCACGTGATTGAGAGAGAGCACAGCGGCGGCTTCGCCAGCACAGGGAGGACGCGGCTTCTGCTCAGTGGACTTTGAAAGCACGCTATGTTGAGATGTTAGTTGTGCAGGGCTAATCCATTTTACACTGTGGTAAAGTGAACATTTGCCCCCATTTCTGACACTACTATGCAATATTTTATATTGAAATGGCAAGTAATGGCCTTTTTTTCTTCTTTCCATAACAACACAACCACTAAATTATAGCTGTGCAATTATGTAAACAATGGAAATGCTTCCAGAAGGAATCCTTCCTTTTAAATTTTCATTTCGTATAATTGTTGGAAGGTTTAGAGCTGTAATAAACAAAATTATTTTACACATTTATCATTCTAAAGGTCAATTATAAGAGAACTAAAGAAGCAGCCCTGTGCAGAATGAGTAAGCCAATTTGTGCCGCCGTCACCATATGTTTTCCTTATCACTTATAGTTTTTCCAGTTACTGTGTACATAGCATTCAATTAAAGCGATTCATTTGAGGAGCTGGATGTAGTTTGTGTTTATAGAACTGTGCTTTGGAGGAGAGGAAACAACACGCCTCTATTTGAATTACCTGATTTTTTGCAAGATCAGTGATAAGAGACAGATGTTCTCACCAGTTGCTTTCTCATAAGCCTGAACCTTGTGATAAGCTACAAAGGCACAATTATCATCTTACAGTCTGGCTTTCAAACTCAACATAGAGTTTGCACATGGACCTTTCACTAAAATTGGAAAATGCAGTGTGTGTCCTGTTCACCATGTGGCACCAGTTCACAGGGTGGTTTCTTTCTAGCAAAAACAAGGTTTGTCTGCTCCGGACTAGTCAACTTAAAGAATAAACCTGATTCCTGTTCCAGACTGCATGTACCACTAAGCCTGTTGTTTAGTTTAACTACTTGTTTAGTCTGTTTTGAAGGTATAGAAAAAAAATCAAATCTTACTACCAGACTCACTTGTTTGAGTTAGGTTCTAAAATTCCTCAAAAGGATAGAGCTTAGAAAATTTAAAGGTTGTGTTTCCAAATTTGCTTCCATTTTACCCCCAAGTTATATACACAATCTCTAATTGCTTGTTAAAGGGGTTGTCTTAAGGTACTGATTGCTAGAGCTTTTTAATTCCTGGGGTAATATATGATCAAAGTAACTTCTCTGTGTCATCTCTGAATTTTTAAAAAATACTCTTCCTCAGTAGATCATTAAAATATCCATTCAATAAATTATTAGGGAACCAGGCCTGGTGGTGCACAACTTTAATCCCAGGACTTGGGAGGCCAAGGTAGGCAGATTTCTGTGAGTTCGAGGTCAGCCTGGTCTATAAAGTGGGTTCCAGGACAGTCAGGGCTGTTATACAGAGAAACCTTGTTTCAAAAAAACAGAACAGAACAAAACCAAACAAACAAAAAACCTAATTAACTAACTAAATAATATTGACTGAACCTATGAAGTAAGTTCTATGGAGTAAAAATTCTTCATTTTGAAGTAAACATTGCTGACACTGTTTACTTCTGAACTTGGAAAGCCTCCATAAAACATCTGTTTACATCTGCATCCCACTGCCTACTGCTCATTAAGGACGGGTCATCTCATCTTAGGGAAGAGAGAAACACATTTCTTTGGGAGTGGCCCACAGTATCTAATCCAAGCCTTGTGGCCTCAGTCTTAGAGTTTTTCACAGGGAGAGTTTGAACAGAGAGAAATTTCCTACCAGTGGTTACAGTAGAGTCAGCTTTGAGAGAAGGAATCATTTGATGAGAATAAAGCCTCTGTGTTCATCACAACTTATCCTCAAGACTTCCTCAGGCCAGGTAGAGTTGGTACAACCATGGTTGTTGGCCCTATGACATTGTAAACCTCTATTTTTAAAGACAAGTGCCTATCTCAAAGTAAGAGCTTCTGGCAGCTAGTGATGTTTTTACAAGAAATTCATAATCATTTGCTTGTTAATATGTTATTGTTTTTAAGGAGTATTTTCTGTTTCTGACAAGGGGTAATCATTTTCCAGTATAATTTTAAATTTCAAAACTGTGAGTCGCTTTGAAGAAATGTACTAGGCAAATTCTGCTGACTTTCCAGGGAGGCTGCTACAGAGGCCATGAGGACCGACCCTGATGTGATGGGTGTGTGGTGAACACCATTCTGTCTGTTCATATAGAAAGCTCTGTAGGCTATATAAACTATCAAAACCTGAAGGATTTTATTTTAAATTTTCAAAGATTGATTTTAATACCTTAAAGTGGAGGAGTGGGGTGAAAGAACTACTTTTCTGAGTTAGGAATGAGTGGAGCTCATCGTGGATGGTCCTCTTTTGGGAACATGAATGGCAGATGCTCTCCTGAGGGCCATGTGGCTACTCCTAATTTTAAAGTGTTATCTCAAAGATAGACACTTTGGACTGCTCCATTTCAGTGTAGATAAGCAAAGTAAGCCAGCATGTGGTGGTAATTTGGCTGACTGGTCATATGGACCCCTCTTTAACCCCCGAATTAACCCTATCCCAGTGCTGTCCTTAGTGACTATAGCAAAGGCACACTTTCCCCCCAGGCTCTGTCTTACGTGGGTGGTATAGTAGGGCAGGCTTGCCATCTGTCATTGTCCCTCTTTTTCTCATCTCTTTGTCCATAGAAGCAGGTTTGGTTGAAGTCACTGGCCCAGGTCCAGGGACTGGGTGAGGCCTGTGACTATCTCAACTACTTTGTCTCTGCCATCTCTAGCACCAGTGACAATTTTGTAGTTTCTGAGTGTATGGTTTCCTCCCTAAGCATATTCACCAATGAAGCAAGTTTGTAAACTATGGTTTCAGCTTATTATTCAATTTCCAGTCCCCACAAACCCATTCCAGAAAAATCACCTTTAAACCAAAAATTCTAAATTCCAGTGGTGAAGATGGCTCATTTGAGTTTAGTGTGTGCTAAATGCTAAAAGTTTTTAAAACCCTTAGGCTTCAGGGTTTTAACTCCTCATCTCAGCAGATGGAATTAACGCAAACATAACAAAGCTAACATCATGGCTGTTTGCATTATTAATCTTCAGATGCATGGCATTCTGGTACCTTGCTAGCCAGGTTTGCACGAATCCATTCATTGCAGCATATGTCAACAGAAATGTGCTTCCATCTGCTGCTGGGAAGCTTGATGCCTGATATTCTGAGACAAGGCCCCAGCACAATGCATACCTCTGTGAGTAATTACAGGTGTGTGGTGAGGAGCCCAGGGCATTAATCAGAGGCCTAATTATGAAAAAGGTAGATCTTTTGTTCCAGTCCTGGAGCATGAGTCTACTACACAGTTTCTAACCTGCAGCATCCATCTGCTCAGCCAGAGAATGTTTGTCTTGGCTGATATGGACCCTAAAGTGTATCACAGGATGTGATTAAAACAGGCTTAATTATTAACAGGGAAGAAATCTTGGTTTAGGTTTTTTTTTTCCATCCCTTCCTTTTATATATCTACATCTATATCTACATCTATCTATTTTTCTATCACCTATTTACGTGTCTCATCTTTTATCTATAAATCATATATATCCATTTATTTTTGTGTAAGAAAAAGTCCACTGAAATGCCAAAGCTTCAAGTTTTAAGCTAAACTATTTATCATAAGTGAGCACTAATATATTGAGTATTATATGGTCATTTGAATCTTGTAAATAGTATTATTTAATGTTAAGTGTATCTGCTGTAAGAAAACATGTCTTGGGAAAATGTTATGTGAGCACATGGAAGGTATGTTTAAGAAGACAAGTTGTGAAATGAGGTGAATCTTTCTATGAGGGGCCTCAGATGACTTTGGAAATGAGCATGTTGCTATGCTTTGCTCTAGTTTAATAGTTAAGTCAGGACTTGTTGAGGTAGCCACACTGACAGCCAAGGTTCTTCCGTCTTGCTATTTACTTGTATATTGACACTAACTATTAGTTGCACTACAGCTAGTCACATAACTAAAGTACTTCAGCATGTGGTTTTGATTTGTGTGCCTGGCCAGAATCTGTGCAAAAGAAGATTGTAGTTTTCATATTAATCCCATTTATACATGCACATACTCACACAGATGGCTTTAGGGGGGAACCTGGCCATAATGGTGTGAATACTGTCCTGTGGTGGATCTGATCCACCACAGAGGCAGGAATGAGGGACTGGAGGTTGGGGACCAGCCAGCCCTCCACAGGATTCTATTATAGACACAGGATGGAGAGCTGTCAGGGAGATGCTCCTGGTGCCGAACTCTGGCAAATGGCTGCTGTTGGCTTTGTGTTTGCACCTCGTGTGCACATCAGATCTGTGGCAACTCCCTGACCTTAGAGCCTCATGCATGTTACACCATTACCATAACACTACCCACATTCCCATTTCTTAGTGCCTGAAACTCACAGGAGCGGTCATTTCCATCCCTTTGCCTATCAGCTTTTCTAAGAGTGTGCTCTAACCTCTGGGGACTGAAGCTAAAGAAAGAGCCCAGTTTTTATTCTACTGACAGAGATTTGCAAGTTTTATTTACATGTCTATCTTGGCACACCTGTTCAAGGAGCCCACGTCGAGTGGAATACAGGGCAGATGTTTAGCTAGACCCAGTGTCACAAAGTGGCCTTTGGTTTTTCCATTCCCTTTACCAAAAGATATGTATGAGAACCATTAGAGTTATGCATCCCCTGCACTCTTTTGAACAAAATCCTCACACAGTGCTCTGCTATCTTATTAGTGGTAGTCTTACAAAGGAACCACTTTGGAATTTTGTTCTTAACATTACAGTTGTGTTTCCTTATTTTCGTTTTCAGGATATCTTAAACACCATCATAAAAAACTGCTCACCCCGCTTTTTCTCCCTGGGTTTGCCTGGCTTCTCAATGCTGGTGGGGGACTTTATCACTGCTGCTGCCAGGGTCCTCAGTACAGACATGTTGGCGGTGAGTATGACAATGTTCAGCATCCCAGCTCCTGTGAGACTTCACAATTGCTAACAAGGCTCAGATTTCTCCACTCTTAACAGGTGTTGACTCATTAGTGCGATGTGAAACTGGGCTCTCAGAGTAGATACCCTGGCAGCTCATCTGTGAAATTGTAGGATCAGATGACATACTGGTACTGGAAAGGCGTTTCATCAAAAGGCCAAAGTGTGAGAAATCATATCCCCACTAATATGTCAGCACATTTACACGAAAGCAGGGTACATCTTACAGATACTTATTAGTATTCTCCAGTAAATGACATTATGGTTATAAATGCCATAAAGAGAGAATTTGAAGTGTTTGTTTGAAGTAATATGTTGTTGTTTTGTTAAACTTAGTTTTAGTTATTGTGAATCTCAAAGAAATAAATAGAATTTTGTGGGTCTAGATTTGGAATCAAATCTAAGGCCTCTTGTATATTAAACTACTACTGAAATATAAAGATGATGAGATTTTGATTTACCAGGGGTTTACATGAAATGAGTATGAGTAGTCAGTATTCTAAATTTTGTCTGATACATGGCTGATTTCTCACTTTCTGTTGGATGTGGTTAATACTTGTAAAATTCATAATTTGTACTCTTATTTTTATGCCCTAATATCTTCTTCTGAGGCTAAATTAGAAAGTGAAGAGAAGGGGAGAGACAAGAACAAGAGGGAGGAATGAGAAAAGGAAAAATAAGGAAGAAAAATGTCCAATTTCTTTAAGACTTCCCCCACTTGGTTATTTCTGAATTGGGGAAAATCATCTTTAAAGAACCTTCTTGTTAAATGTTAAGCCTTCAAGTTGGCTTGAAAAAAATTACAGGACATGAGCAGGAGAATCATACTTCATTAGAATTGTATTACTTGTTAGGAGGATTTCTGTAGACTGTGCTACAGCCCTTTATGCTACACCACACATAGTGATGACTCCTGTGGACATGGGTCTTTCGCATATGTGAGCTATTTAAAGTTGCCTTCCAGACATAAATTGGTCAATGGTCATATGAAAATTACTCAACATCTTTAATCAGAAATGCAGATTAAAACACAAGATAATAATTTCCACTGTTAAGAGTTGCTGTCATCAACAAGGAAGATAAGTGTTGTTAAAGATATAAAGGAAAAAGAATCCTTGTATCTTGGTGAGAATGTAAATTGGTACAGCTATTGTTGAAAATAGAATGACCTTTTAAAATTAGTAAAACCATTAAGTGATCCAGAGAAGTAGAGTCAACATGTTCAAGGGAAAACTGCCCCTCATGCTCTACGCAGCATTATTCCTAGTTAATAAGTTAGAGTAACAACTTAACTCTGTGTACATGTGGATGAACAAATGTGACACATACAATAGCATATTCTTCATCCTTAAGAACAAAGAAATCTTGTCATGTTTGACAGCATGAGTGATTCCAGAAGCCACTTTGCCTGGGAAATAAGCCAGGCATAGGCCTGCATCATCTCTGAGACATGTGAAATATTAAAAGTCAAATGAACAGAAACAGAGGAGCCTGGTGTTTGCTAAGGGTTGGGAAGTAAATGGGTAATGCTGATCAAAACGTAGAAAGTTTTGGTAAGTTGTACTTAAAAATATTGTAGTATAAACTTGAAATCTGTCAAGAGAATGTTCCTCCATGAAAAGGGGCGGCCATCTGAGATGGTAGATGGGTTAATGAAGCTTAATTATAGCTTTTATTTTACAGTGCTTTTATCTATATACATATACGTACATATGTATGGTAACCCTCTTATATCCGTCCTTCTCAAACTTCCTCATGATGCAACCCATTAATACAGTTGCTCATGATGTGGTGACCCCCAACCATATAATTGTTGCTATTTCATAACTGTAATTTTGCTACCATTATGAATTATAATATAATATCTGATGTGCAGGATATCTGATATGTGACTCTTATGGGGGTGCTTTCTTAAGTGTATATAACTTTACCTGTCATACCTTCATAAAATGCTAAAGAAAAAAACAGCTTTCCAAAATGAAATTTTAAATGGAGAGAATATGAATATAACAGTTATATAAAAAGAGTGGTTTTTTGAATTACTGTTCTGTGTAAATATGAGGTTTAAAGCTGTGCAGCTGGTGAGAGAGGTGCTTGGTCAGGGCACACCTGCTCAGCTAGTTTTCCGGTATCCCAGTTAACTATGAATGTTAAGTATCCCCACTTGCTCAGGCAGCCAGAAAGAGAAGTAAATACGTGCACAGGAACAAATCAACAAAGAAATCTGTGGAAGGTTCTGCATAGCAGCAGTAATTAACAACCAAAGCTAGGACCAGTCCAAATGTCCAGCAGTAGCAGAACAAAAACCTTGGTGCAAACATGCTGAGGCTTACTGTATAACAGCACACAGCAGGGAGCCCCAGGTCTAGCTTGCTCTTGAATCCAGTATGGCTCTGTGAGTGAAGAGGGCAAGAACTACAGCCAACATCCTAATGTTAATCGTAAGGAAATGGGCAGTTCCAATCAAGGAAGCCTCTTAGGTCTCTTCAGAAAGTATCCCAGAAGCCACATGGTGATAGTGCTTGTACTGCAAAGGAGCTGTGAACCGTGTCAGATGCCTCTGAGGTCAGATGAGACTGAGACTGATGGTAGCCACTGGGTGTGTACTGTGGAAGTCAGTAGCCAAAGTACTCACCATGCCTCATGTTAGCCAACTTCAGCAGCTCACAGTAGTCACTCCAAACCTTCATGTTTAAAAACTAGGCAAACCATTGCATATTGACTTTGTCTCTGATGCCACAGCTCCATTCCTAACTGATATCACTTCCCCCACCTCTCTTTGGATGACTACCTCCAACTCCCCTCCTTATGAATGCCCTTGCTTTTTACTTGAAAAATAATGTTAGGTTGTTCTCATTGCCCTGCTCTTTTAAGATCATGAACTCCAAAATTACTTAAAGCAGCCATGACAGCTATTTGCCTGTCTAACTCTGAATGAGTGTCTGAATGAGCCTGCTGAACGGTTGTAGAGCACTTGTTTATGTCAAACGTCGAGATGCTTTCTGTTCGCTGGAGACTTGCATTTTCATCTAGGCAAACTTCTCTTGCTTAAACATCCCAGAAGGAAAAATGATAAAGATTCCCTCTCAAAACCAGAACAAAGTAAAACACGTTCCAGCTTCTGGCCTATGTAAGAAACTTGATGTTTCCCTCCTTGTGTGCAGGCACCCCGTTCAGAAGCTCTCACTCTCCTTGGTTCCCTTGTCTGCTTCCCAAATACCTACCGGGAGATCCCTCTGCTGCAGTCAGTGCCAGAAGTGAGTGACGTCGTCACGGGAGCTGAAGATGTCAAGGTACATAACTGAGTCTTGAGTTTAACATCCACAGCTGGAGCTACATCACTGTGTCTTCCATCCTATGCACTGACCTACTTTCCCCTGACATTTGCTGTATCTTTTGAAAGCTTTGGTAGTTGTTTTCAGAAATGCATTGTATGAACTGTGAATGTATCACATTCATAGCATATTGCAGTTAGACCTGATAGCTCTGTTCCTCTGGTGTTTTTTTATTAGATCTGTTTATCGTTCCTAGGGATCATAATTCTGTAATGAATCATCATTTGTAATAATTCTGTTAGCTTAGTTATGCTGCATTAGTAGAGCAAATGATTTTATAAGAAATAATTCCAGTAAGCTAAATATTCAATCCCATTGCTGGCCTGATTAAATGCTACTAATAACCTGAAGTTCCAAATTATTTCTTGGGAAATAAAAGTAAGAATTTTTTTTTTGTCCTCAGCTGGCTTTTGAAGCAAACAGAAAGTCCCCACATCAGTCAATCAATCCATAATACCTGATTATAATCTGTAATTCAATGTACAGTGTCTAATCCAATCAAAATAAAATGGAGATTTTCCTATCTGGAAGTCTCAGGTGCTTTGCTTGATTTCCACTGGATCCCTAGAAATGCTGTGCTGCAGGTTGGCTCGGTTACCCAGGGAAGCACTTGCTGAGGTGAGCCAAGTTCTCCCTGAAGGAAGGGCTGCCCGAACTCCCTGGCCTTTTGCTAGCTCCAGGGTGCCTGTGACATGGTCAGCACATGCGGGAAACCAACAATGACATCAAATTTTCATTTACTGAATTTTGTGTTTTTAGCATTACCTCATAAATATTTTACTGAAGAATGCTACCGAGGAACCAAATGAATGTGCAAGGTAAATGATGAACAAGAGGTAAACTATGTTAGAATTTTAAGATGCACATTTGTGTATAAACAGTTAATGTTTTAAAACTCCTTGACATTTCTCTCACACACACACTGAAATGTATAATATAGTAAGCATTGTGTCAGAAAGCTGCTGTGCTTAGCTGCTTAAAATGTCATCATTACACGTGAAAAGGGTAAGATGAAGAATATTATAGAGTATACTGTCTTTTGCATAAGAAAACAGAGATTAGAAATAAATGATGCTTTCAGTAAGGAGGAGGGATAAAGCAGCAGTTCGTGAAAGCTGTATGCTGCGGGCAGAGATTCTGAACTTCAGATGATTTGTGGCTCAAGAGACATTTGGTAACGTGTGGAAACATTTGGGTGCTTCTGCCAAGCATCTAAGACTACTACAGTCTGTGACCAAGATAGGCGACTTTATAGGCCAATTGTGGTAAGAAGTCCCTACCTCTCCTCTCAAGGTGAAGGGCAATACTGGGAATGCAGATAGAGGAGAGCATCCCTCTCTCAAACTCAACTCCCAACCTTGTCAGGCCACTTCTGCCTATGAGTGCCTCAAGGCAGTTGCATATGTCATGACCCTTAGGCACATAGGAAAACAGAGGCCTATAACTCTACTGTCTCATGCACTCTTGTGATTTTACATTTTGTTAATTTTTTTATTTCTTCAGTAGATGGATTAGTGCAGTTTTCCTAGTCTGCCATTTTCATAAGCTATGTGCATTACCAGTTTGTTAACATTAAACTAAACTTGGGTATGAGATACTCCCCCCTTGATGTATATAAATTTTGGTTCAGAAAGTTACATTACATCCAGCATCTGTAATTTTCCTATCATGCCCTCTTCCTGTTTGAATATCAGGCCAAAGGATCATAAAACATAACGGGCTCTTTCTTCTTCACACTCAGAATACTTTTTACAGCAGTAGGATTAGTATCCCTGTGTGCTCATAGATCTCACAAGCAAGAGTGTTCAAGAATTGTGTCCATTTCATCTTTGCTGTTAAATCCTTGTGTATTCTCTAGTTGTATGACTAGTCTTGTTAGATTTGTCACCGTTACTAGTTTTTTCAAACAGTACGTGTTTGTCTTTGCTTACCTCTCTACATTTGTTTTTATTTCCAGCTTTAAGCTCTAAACCTCTTCTACTTGTGATGTTATTCTTTTGTTACTTTTAAAATATATATACTTGGTGTGTTTTTAACTTTTTTCCTTTAACACGAGTATTAGTAAGGGCTTATTGGTAAGGGCTACCTTTTGCAAAATTTTGTTTTAATATGCAATATTTTCAATTCTGTTTTTTCTACTTTTTATTATGACTCCTTCATGGGATCATACTTTTTATTAATTTCCAAATATATGATTATTACTGTCTTTTTAAAATTTTTATAATTTTTAAAATTTTATATAAATTAGTAATTTGCCTTAAACTAGATTTATACATGGATATGAGCTACCATATTGGGCCTGAAAACTGAACCCTGGTCCTTTGCAAGAACAACAAGTGCTCTTAACTGCTGACTCCTCTCCACCCTCTATTTCTATCTTCTATTGCTACATTTGTTTCAAGTAATTATAGTGTAGACCAAAATGTATGTGTGATGACTAACTGTATTTTATTTAAAGTTAATATTTATGCTTGTTTTATGCCCCCGTGTATAGTGAGTTCTAGCCGATAGCTCATATATTCTTGAAAAGAATGTATATAGGGGCTAGCGAGATGATTCCATCATTAAAAGCACCTGGTGTTCTTCCAGAAGACTTAGGTTTGGATGCCAGCACCCACATAGTGGTTCACAATCATTTGTAATTCCAGTCCCATGTGATCCAGTACCCTTTTCTGGCCTCCTTATATACTACAGATACACATGCAAAATACCTATAAACATAAAATAAAAATGAAAAATACTATATTTAAAAGGAGAAAGAAGGGAATGTATATACTGTTCTTTAATCATTAGGCATACTGTTCTAGGTGTAACCTTACAATGTTTCACGTAATCTGCATTCCTTCTCCGTTATTATTATATAAGTATATATAATTATAATATAATTAATAATATATTATTACTAATTTATCATTTACTGAAGTTATGTTAAGAGCTTCCCACTGTTGTATCTTAATCTATTTTCTGGTATTTCTGTCAAAGGCTGTGTTATTAGTTGCATAGGCATTTGACATTGTCCTATCTCTATAGTGAATCAAATGTATTTATGTTTGTATGGATGATTTGTTTTATTTTAGAGACCACTTTAACTGCTCCTGATTTCATACTATATAATACTTTTTAGCTTTTAGAAATAACTTTTCTGTTTTCTCTTTAAAGTACCTTTGCAAAAGCTATATACATCTGGATTTTATGATTGTATAAAGTTGTGTGATCTCCATCTCTTAACTGAAATTTTAATTCGTTTGTATTTGCTACTACCAGTGATCTTTTGGGTGTTTGTCATCTTATTTAATATTTTATTTTGAATTGGAGCTCCTAAGCATTTCTCCTGTTTATTACCTTTGTTTCCTGCCTTTTTGCTATATTTTTTAAAAATTGGTATTTAATTTTTCTTTTCCATAGTCAATTTCATTGTCTCAGATTTCCATTCAGTTCTCATAAAGACTGTTTATTAAATTTTAATATGGTATCTGGCAGTCTTGAAGTTAGTCTATCTTCTTCTAAACCACATGTCCCCTGCGACATAATCCACGTTCTTCCTGCCACTGCAACTTCCCTGAGCCCCACATGAACTCCCCTTCTCTGCTTAGCTCAGCATAGTAGAGTGACCCAGCAACAGATTCTAGTCAGTCTATACATGCTTGTTGATAATTTCCAAATTATTTACCTGAGCTTTTTAATGACTCATTGTATAGCCCAGTTTAGCTATACTTGATACCTCAAGTTGGATGTCTTAACGTCCAAATGTAACACAACCAGAACTGAATCTTCTAGTGCCTCTGACATGCTCTGCCCTATCTCATGCCCTGCAGATGTCACCTCAAAAACTGAAAATATTATCTACCCAGTTTTTCAGCCCAAGATCTTGTGGAATATCTTTTGTTTATGTTCTTATATCTATCAAATAATCTCTATGATTCTTTTCCCCCTAACTTGTTTTAATTATAGAAAGTCACATTTCTTTGAAGAATAGTTTATATTAGCATGGAGTTTAGAACAAATAACAGTGAAAATGTATTTATTTTGAAAGTTACTTTAAAATCAAATTTAGTCTTTGTCTTACATTTGAAGTATGTACTATATACTTTGTAAGGAAAACAATTACAAACCCAATTTTCAATAATCTAAGATCTCTGCTTTTTGTTCCTTCTCAAAACTATCTGTTATTAAAATGTAAAACAGTTTTTGGAGTCAACAAAAATAGTTGGCATGGATTGAGGTACTTAACAGAAAATATACCATTTGCTTCATGAAATATTTAAGTACTGACCGTCATTAGTGATTTTCTTTATCCTGAAAACTGGCCCACTGGAAGTTTTTAAATTTTTCTCTCAAGAAAAATATTCTGTTAATATACCTGTAATTGCTGTTCCTTTGAATGAATAGATGTAAAGTATTCTGTCATTTAAAATATATTGAACTTCATGAGCCTTTTCCTGCCTTTGCTTCTCTTTTGAAAGATGTATCGCCATTTGCTCTCTTGGGATCTGGATTTGTGAAGAGCTTGCACAGTGTGCCAGCCATCCTCAGGTGAAGGATGCCATCAATGTGATAGGTGTAACTTTGAAGGTATTCATGTTTCTTAATGGTTTTTTGTTTTGTTTTGTTTTGTTTGTTTTGTTTTGTTTGTTTTTTGACGTTAAGTTCTCTCCTAGGACTTTCTTTAAAAATTTACTTATTCAACTTATGTCCAATATCACCACTCCCTCTCCTCACAGTGACCACCTCCCAAAGCTCCTTCCCCCATTCCCCCTCCCTGTCTCCTCTGAGAAGGGAGAGCCCCCCAGGCATAACACCCACCCACACACACCTGTCACATCAGTCACTACAGGACTAGGCACATCCTTTCTCACTGACACCAGACAAGTTGGCTCAGTTAGGGGAGCAGAATCCACAGGAAAGCAACAAATTCAGGAACAGCCCTGCTCCAGTTGTTGCTCTTCTAGGATTTTAACCAGTTTTAACTGTAATCAGTTTATTTTTCAGTTCTCTACATTATAGAGAGATGGTAGTTAAAACGTCTTGTTCTGAGTGCCGTGGTAAATATTTTACAAGGATGTCTGAGACTGCCTCTCTAGGCCATTTATGTTCTGAGTGGTTTTGGACCTAGCCAAAGCTAGTTAGGGCTCTTCTGGTTGCTGGACATCTTGGGCTACAAGAAAGTGAGGTTTCAGGCTGTGACCTCTCTGGCTTGGTTGGGATAGGAGCCTGCACCTTCCCCTTAGGAGCGTGGGTGTTCACCTGCTGCCTGAACTTAAGGCATTTGGAGCATACTCCTTCTTTGCGTTGTTACTGAAAGATGTGCTGTTTACTGAGCATCATGTATTAGTGTTCTCTAAATACTTTTTAGAATTTCAGTTATAGCTCTGCAAGATAAGCACCACAATCCCTATTACACCAGAGGAAATGATGTCTGGGAGAAATCAGTCACAACTCCAAGACAATACAGGCATGAGCGACAGAGTCAACACTGAAAGTAGATGTGTGCAGCATTCAAGACATAATTGAACTTCCACTTGTGCAGTGAGGCTGCCTCTTAAAGCAGACCCGGTATCCTGCCTTCTTGGTTCCTGTGCAGAAACAGTAGACATCATTAGCACTGTGACTATCAAATTTGCAGAACCAATGAGTCTGCCAGGCGCTGTGCTGAGGGCTTTGTCAGTTCTCAGTGGCAAAGGCAGTTTGCCATTTTACTAGAGAAGAAGGGAACTCATATGCAAGAGATATAAGGAGATATTTAGGCTGGGGGACGTTTCAGCTGATTTTGAATTGAAATTCCGCTTGTCTAATGCCAGTATCCAGATTCTTCTCTCCCTTCTTTCTTGCAGCTATGATAGTTATAGTAGTTGTAGCAGGTTCTGGGCAATTGTCGTTAGACCAGTGACAGCCCTGTTTGCCCTTGGTGCATTGTTTTCTTGGGCCCATGGGATGACAGCCCATAGTGTTCTTTATCTTTGGAATGGGGCAATGCTGTGTGGCCCCTGCCTGACCAAACTCAATACCTGTCGTTCCCCATGTATGTCCTCTGTCCCCATAACCTCATCCCACATCCCTCCTGTATAACCCCTGGGTTGTATCTTAGAAGCTGGTCGAGTACCTGCTACTGATTCCTTGATGAAGATTGTAAGAATTTGTCATCAGTGATGTCACATGACCAAGTTCCCTCTGGCCTGGCCCTTGAGGTTATATTTAATACTGGGACCTATCTTAGAAGGTGTAGTGGTACTGCCACCTGTACTTAACAGATGGGGAAAGTGAACTGACCAAGGTCCTTTGCAGCTCCAACCAGGATGCTTTGACCCCATGCCTGAGACTTTATATGCTTACAGTATGCCAGACTGACTTCCAAACCACAGAGGAGAAACTACTGGATGTAAGTTGTTGACTTATGTGGATCTCAATTTATTTTTCAAATACCCTATTTTCTCAATTCTAGGGTGTTTTTCAATTTTCTCCTCCTGAAATCTAAATATACACATTTAAGTTAGTTACCTAGCTTTATCCTTTACCTGAGAACACTATTAATAATTTGATGATACCTTAGAAATGTATAACTTCCTATATAGTATAGAACAGAGATAGAAATTGAAAATAGGTTGGGATTAGAGAGATGATTCCATAGCTAAGAGTACTGACTGTTTTTCCAGAGGACTGGGGTTCAGTTCCTAGCACCCAGGTTTACAATTGTCCGTAACTCTGGTCTCTATGGTCTCTATGGTCTTGTCTTATTCTGAATTCCAAGGAGATCAGACATGCAGATGTAGCAGCTATACATGCAGGCAAAACACCCATACACATTGGATATATGAATAAATCACTTATTTTAGCGAAATTGATAATAGAGGAATAGAATCCCAGATGAACAGATTTTCTTTGTATGCTTATGAGTTCTCAAAATGCCTGAAATCTTTCTGTAATTATGAGGGTAAACAATAGGCACCAGAAAACACTTTCAGTTATGCGTATTGTGCCTCTGTTCTACTGGTGTCCATCAAAGTACTAGAATGTTCCACTGCTGTGCATAGGTATGATCACTCCAACCCATAGGCTAAAGTACTTGGCACAGCATGCAAGACAGACACCAGCCTGCTCCATAGCAATTTCAGTTTCTAGAAAATACGGACCGTACTCACCTGCTAGACTCATCTTGTTCCTTCAGCTCTCTGTCTTTAATTCAGTGTTGGCACATTGTCAGTCTTTCATGGCTGTGTGTGAGGTGGGTGAGAGTGAGGAATGATTTCTTTTATCCCTTCCATCCTTCACCTCACTCACTGTGTATGCATACTGCTACCCCAGTGGCAGTTCCTGTCTCAAGATCCCTAGCTGTCTCAGAACCTTTGCCTCCACTGCACACACATACTGCTGCTCACCTAGAGGGAAACGCAACTCTCCCTCCACATCCTTCCAGGCACAGCTCAGCCCTCCATCCTACCACTTTCTTTCTGAGTGTCCCATGTCTCCCCATTCAGCCCCAAGCCCCCTTGTCTTGTCTCCCACAGCTCTTGTCATTTTCCCCTGTCTCTTTCCAGATTCTGGGAGCCTTACTAGCACCCATTCATTCTTCCACTTCCTCAGTGCTTCATCCTCTCCTTGAACATGTACACCCCATGTTAGCCCTCTCAATAGTGATAGCAATATAGGAAAGTAGTAAATGCATTAGTAAATCTCCTGTAGTACTACTGTGGAGAAAATGAAACACGATGGGATAAAACTAAAGAGCAGGGAGGTATGGACTGCTTCATGGAGATGGTGAATTTAGTGTGAGGATCTGAACAGTATAGCAGTGCCAGGGACACTAGACCTGGGAACTAAACCAACTGAAACAAAGCCAGGATCAAGTACAAAGGACAGAAATATCCAGAAGCCTGAGGGTGGGAGGAGCCCAGTGGCATTCGGGTCATCTGGAGTCTAGATGAGGAGGAATGCTGTGAAGAGCCCCAAATGCTCATTCGACTTAAATTCAGCAGCACAGGGCCATTGGCACGCCATGTGTTGTCAGTAATGACGTGTGGATAGCAGTGTAGCCTCTAGGTTCTAACCAAGGCAGAACGCACATTCGTGTATACTCTGCATGATGATGAAGGCTTTGCATATACTACCTCTTTGTCATCTGCCTCACCAAAGAAGTGGAACATTCAGGAGACTGGGGACATCAGGCTGTGTCTTAGTTACTTTTCTGTTCCTGTAAAGAGAGACTATGCTGAAAGCAACTGTTAGAATGAAGAGATTATTGGGGGCTTACAGTTGCCAAGGGTAGAATCCATGACCATCAGGCAGGGAGTATTGTAGCAGGCTGGCAGGTATGGCTCTGGAGCAGGAGCTGAGAGCTCACATCTTGAGACAGCAGCCATGAGGCAGAGGGAAATCTAACTGGAAATGTCATGAGCTTTTGAAACCTCACATACCTTTTCCAACAAGGACACATCTACTTCTCAAACAGTTCCAACAACTGGCGAGCAAGTATTTACAGATATAATCTTATGGATGCCATTCTCAATCAAACTACCACATCCCATTCCACTCCCTAGTCCCCATAGGCTGTGGCCATATCATAATGCAAACTGCATTCAGTTCTACTTCAAAAGTCCCTAAATCGTTCACAGTCTCAATACAGTTTAAAAGTCCAAAGTTTAAATTCTCTTCTGAGACTTATGGAAATCTCTTAACTATAACCCCATGTAAATTATAAAAGCAAATGTAATACTTCCAACAGACATACATACATAGAATATACATTTATTATTTCAAAAGGGAGGAATAAGGGCACAGTGAGGAAAAAATGGAACACCAAAACTCAACAGGAAAAGCTGCAAATCCTTTATCTGATGCCTGATGTCAAAGATCTTAGATGGCTCTGCCCTTCCAGTTTTACTGACTGAAGCATATATTAGCCTGTGAGGGCCATTCTCTTTTAAGCCACCACAGGCTGCTTTAGTAAACATACCCAGAGCCATTGAACATGCCCTAGCCCCTGGGTTATGTCCTTACACTCTGCTATTACACACTTCTTAGTATGTTACATGTGTGTCATTTTATTTCCTCAGGTAGGAAGTCATTTGGTTAATCCGTGTTTTTCTGTTTGTGAAATGAAGACCTTCCTTCCAGAACTGTTAATGACAATTTATCAATGACAGAATGAGTTATATTTGTGCAGAAGGTTTGGCACACGAAAGATGCTCCAGCATATACTCTGAATTCCCTCAGTTTGTCAATAGTGTGATTAAATGAACTGAATACAGAATTTAACATTTGGGCTTTAATTTCTAGGCAAACATTGACCACCTTTTTCTATGGAATATATAAATTAATGCGGGTGAGTTCAAATAGTCAACAAAATGGAATGGAGTGGTCATGTTCAAACGATGTTAATTGGGCAGAGTTTTCTTCAGTTGCATAACAGATATATATACAGGGCTGACAAGAGCAATCGGCTCTGTTCTTCCTCCAGAATATACACCTCCTGAGCTACTCTGTTGACTTGGGGGTTTGGGTTTCTTTTGTAGTTTCCTAACAAGATTGTGGCTCAGGTAGCCTGTGATGTTCTTCAGTTGTTGGTTTCCTACTGGGAAAAGCTTCAGATGTTTGAAACTGCTCTACCACGAAAAATGGCAGAAGTAAGTCCTTTCTCTATACTGCTAAAGCATCTGCATTTCCTTCTCACTAATGTATTTGATATCTAATTAACTGTAGATCCTCGAGTAATTGTTAGAGAAGCAACTATTAAACTGCCATGTGAGCCCCGTTTTCAGGCTGTGTTGGCCAGCTCCTCTCAGCTTCAATTCTAGGCACTGTGCAAAGAAGCCTGCAGTGTTCCAGCCAGAGGCTGGTGCTTTGAGAGTTTGAAAGGCAGACACAACCACAACAAAGAGACCTTTTGTAGGTTGGGCTTTATTCATTGAGAGTAATTTGGATGGTGCCAACAAGGAGTAGGCAGCTGGTTTAGTGCCTTCCTTGCAGGGCGGAGGCCTGGCTCTTGTGTAAAGCAGGAGTTACTCCCAGACTAAAGCCCTGGGCCACGCTTGCTGCTGTGGCGTGGTTACTTGCAGTAATGAGATCAGTGCAGTATTAAACTCCGAGGGATGGTGGCCAGGAGAGGGAGGGGGGCAGGAAGAGCAGGAAGTATCATCTCCACAGCTTCTTGGAAGTCAGCTCCAGCCCAGAGGTCTTTGGTCAGAGCTGAGTAGGGACTACCTGTGCCTGGCTGGTTTTTATAAGCACTTCTCTAGGCAAGCCGTATTCTTTGCCCATCCCTTGGAGACTCTAAGGAAATCTAATTTGTCCCTATGAAGGATTGCAAGGAGAGAGAAGAAATGATGCAGCTGCATTCCCCCCACCCCTAGGCAGACTTCGTTGGTTGGCATCACTTTGTTCTCTCAGAACCACTTCAAGAGTCACAAGTGGTCTTTGACCTTAAGTGATCCGGAGTGAAATAGACCTTTCACTCTGCTGCAGACTGTAAAGTTGGGTTTAGCGTCACCCTGTCACTATTCAGACAGGACACATGTGAGCATGATTGGCAAGCTGTGATTCCAGAACAGGAGGTGGGGCTCTGTGCTGATTTATAAGCGCAAATGGCAACCTTTCCATAATTATTTTTAAACCCTTTTTTTATTTCACTAGAAATATGGGGCTAATAGTTTCACTAGAAACTATGTGACTATAGAGAGAACTATCCTTGCCTTGAGGTCTCAGTCCCCCATTAAAGAAAATCATTACATGGTCCTAATTTTCAAATCTCTTACAACAGGCCCTCAGTGTTGTATCACCATCCAGTGAGTAGGTACTGGGTTGTGTTAAGTTGCAAGGCCATCTAGGGATCCTTAACATATGGCTTCTAAACTATAACTATATAAACTATGTAAGATATAACTATAACAACTATAGATAAAAACTATGATAAATTGCTTGACTAGGTTTTATCTTTTATGCAGATCCTTGTGGCCACAATTGCATTCCTTTTACCAAGTGCAGAGTACTCTTCAGTGGAAACAGATAAAAAGGTAAGTGACAGGTTAGGTGGCTTTCCACAGAGGTATTTTTAAGTATAAGACAGAATGGGGACAACTATTACTAATGATGGTGTCATTTATAACATCCCTATATGTTGGCTTTAACATTTTTTTCTATGAACACCCTTTTTGCTTACTAACTTACCCTGTACTTGTGTGTCCATTAACTACTGAGTATACTCAGGGACAATTCTGTGTATTTTTGCATGCAGTGGGTCCTAAAGTCCATAATGTAAGTTCTGGATACGTTTCTTCTTCTAGTTTATTGTGTCCTTGCTCCTCTGTCTCTTGGACTGGTGCATGGCACTGCCCGTGAGTGCCCTCCTCCACCCTGTGACCACGGCAGTCCTAGAGGAGCCGCACCCATCCCGGGCTCCCTTGCTGGATTATATCTACAGGGTGAGTCTCCTCTAGGCCTTGGGCACAGACTGGAGGCCTACAGATTAAAATACAAAAATGTTGTACATTTCCTACATTTATGTATTTGTGCCTTCTGAAAAATGACCTGTGGAAAGTTATACATTTGAAAAGAAATGAATAATGAATGAGTAGACAGAACAGATAGATTTGTAGAGAATCAGTAGTTACCAAGGTGAAGATGCATGTACTTCACATGACTGTCATATTTAAACAACTGCCGTTGGATCAGAATGCCCCCAATCTTCATGACAAGTGATCTGAGTTTACTTTGTTTCTAAATGGAAGACTATATTATATTATAGGCTCCTATATTATAGGGTCTGTAGCATCAGCTTCACAAAGATCTGTTTATCAAAGTATGAAAAAACCCATAATGTTTCTAGTAATCTCTTTGCCTTAAATAAACCTCAAGAGGCAGGTGTGGTGGTGCATGTTTATAATCCCAGTGCTTTGGAATATGGGAGCAAAAGGACTCCCTTGAGTTCAAGGCAGCTTAGGCTATATAATAAAACCCTGCCTCAAAACCAGAACCAAAACAAAAGGAAAAACACAAAGGAAAAAAATCCTTAGTATATATGTTTTAAAGTCTCACTTTGTGAGAAGTAAGAGTAACTTTAAAATCTGCATTCAATTTACTTTTATTTAATTATACTTTCAAAGTTGTATTAAATTATTTCTTATAATTCATGGGCTCATGTGTTATACTGATTTAAACGCAGGTTGTGGTCACCATGCCCTCTACCATGAGGGCCCTCCCACATTCTTCCTTTCATCTCCTGGGCTGGCTTCTTCTGCCTGGCTGCCTGTGGAGGATGAAAGCCTGAGGCGAGTGCAGGTCACACAAGAGCAGAAACAACCACCTGTCACTTGTGTTTTCATCTGCCCCTAGAAGACAGGTATTGCTACGGACTTACTAGTAACAAAAAGATATTTAAGAATAGAAAGAAGCCCATATTTGAACATGTTCCTAGGAAGGAGCCCTCTCTTCCAAGCACTGTGGGAGCTGAACAGTTGGTCAGCGCTCAGGAAATGCTGGTATACAGATCGCCATGCCTGTCTGTCCTCCTCAGGTTCTGCACTGCTGTGTCTGTGGCTCGAGCACATACACACAGCAAAGCCACTATACTCTGACCTTGGCTGACCTGTCTTCCACGGACTATGACCCCTTCCTACCTCTGGCAAATGTGAGGAACTCCGAGCCAGTCCAGTACCATTCATCAGCAGACCTGGGGAACCTCCTGACTGTGGAAGAGGGTGGGTATGTCTACAGATATACAATTCTGTGTGCAGGAAAAGGTAAAGTTGTCTTGTCCATGCTAGTGTTTTGGGTTTGTTTTGGATCCATTGTTGAAGTTGAAGTCCCAGTTTATAGGGTCTCTGATACCAAACTGCCTTCCCTGTTTCTTCCTTTTTTTTTTTCTGTTATTTTTTCCTCTTTTTTCCCATCTTAAATTATGCACATGGTTTTGTGTTACTGAAAACCTGTTTGTTTCATACCCATGAAATGCACCAAAAAGCTCATTTTCTATTCCTAAACCGCCTTCTAGGGAGTGGGGAAGATAGGACATTGCTGGGCTGGTAGCGTCTTCAGGACTTCCCATAGGGAAGAACTTAAACTGGTCTCAGCAGGGTGGGCAGGTTTGAAGTTGCTCATAAAATTATCCAGGTGAGGAGCCCCTCATGCAGAAAGTTGATAGCAATCCAGCGCTGAGACAGACCTCTCTCATGTGCCTTTTGTGGAGAGGAAAGAGACTTAGCAGGCCATGATCTTGTAAGAGTGCAGGACGTACAGTGTGTCCTAAAATAGGTTCACCCCTATTTTAATGATTTACTTATTAGGTCATTTCACCTGTACCCAACATAATTACTACTTTTAAATAAAGTTACAAGCAAGGTACACAGTTAAGCCATCTGTGATCACATGTGTTCAGTTGCTCATTGTTAATAACTAACTACTTAAAACAGATGGAAGGGGAGGAGCTTCAGGAGAGGAGAGACGAAGGATAGCCAGACATCCTAGCTTTGTATTTCCTCTAGGAATCTAGAGAGAAGGTACTTGGAATGTTTTCTTGTTTAGTAGTTTGTGAAACCCTCAACTAGTTTTGTGACTAGGATGCAGATCATCTCTGGTTCCCAGGGAGTGCATGGGAAGCAGACATTGCTGAAACATGCAGGAGGAGGTCAGTGTTTCCCAGATGTTTCAGGACCAGACCCATTTGGGATTGTAGTAGAAGTTTCGTGGCATGGTTTGCAGCTTGATTCATAGGGCTCCAGGTCATTTTCCCATTGTAGTACAAACCAAAAGCGCAACCTCTGTAAGCAAAAGTAGAGGGAAGTTACTTTTCCTGTTTGATATTTTCTGTCATGGCCCTTTGTCAGTTTCTATCTTTATCGTTAGTTTTGTGCCTACCCTGCTGTCATGACGACGGCATGATTCTCATTATGAACTGTGAACTCCTGGCTGCTTTCCTGTGGGTTTCTAGGCAGTAACATTTCTCAGCTGGAGCATAATCTTTCTTAGTTGTATAGAAATCTTACGTATTTTTCTTAAGTTGTAGGGAAATGTTTAAAATAGATGTAACTGACCTCTTTTTTTTTTTAAAGATATATTTATTTTATGTGTGTGAGTACACTGTCTGTAGCTGTCTTCAGACACACCAGAAGAGGGCATCAGATCTCATTACATATGGTTGTGAGCCACTATGTGGTTGCTGGGAATTGAACTCAGGACCTCTGGAAGAGCAAGCAGTCAGTGCTCTTAACCACTGAGCCATTGCTCCAGCCCTTCCTTTTTTTTTTTTTTTAAGAACCTTTTTGTGTGACATTTTATTTTCCATTATTGGATATAGATTTCTTGTACATTGAAAAAAATTGATAAGAAATCTGAGAAAATTCAAGATGATCTTGTTCTCCCCTCACTTGTTACTCAGAATTTCCCAAATTTCAGAGATTTGTTTCTTTCCAGGATTTTTATACAGCACAAAACAACATGTTATAAGTAACCCAGTTGGATAATGTCTAAAATTAGAAGAATTTAGCATAAAGTCATATATTTACAGTGATTTTATGTGCTAGTTATATTTGATGTTTCACAGTGTAAGTTGAAAAGCTATTACTTCCTAAAGCTCTAAGATCAAATTATAAACCTTAATTTAAATATGTAGACTTTTTTCCATAAAAATTTTAAAATTTCATTTTCACTTGTTATTAAATTGACTTTTAGAAATTTTGCCAGTTGAAGTTTCCTCAAGTACTCTCAGCCTGAAGTCCTATTTCAATTTCTAGGTTATAGTGTATCTTCCTGTCCATTTTCCCTCATTTTATAAAGCACTGGGACTCACACTGTTGTCAAAGTCTTTATATACATTTAAGCTAAAATTTTATAAATCAGTTGCTCTTGATTACTAAATCATGAAATAGATGCTCAGTTAAGTTCTTCTAGGTGCCTCCAGGGTTTATTAAAATTCATCATAAATTTTCTTAAATATTTTAAGTGTTCCAATAACAAAACATAAACTGTCACAATGATTATTAAGTATATTGTTTCCAGTCTTTTAAAATAGCACCAAGGTTTATTAATATCCTTATCAGGCTTACCTGCAGCCAACAAAGGAGGATCCCTGGCCCACTTTCTGATCTCTACTTCCCCTCCAACTAGGTTTTTTACTTCATCTGAGCCCCTGAACTTTTGTCTGTCTAACCTGGCAGTGCTCCCTTTGGCTTGTTCTTATGTCTGTAGATTTTTAAAGTCCCTTTCAGAGTGACGTCTTCACGTAAGTTGGTTCTTTAGCGATCTGTTTCAGCTATGTTTTTATATTCAAATAGAATTAGGGTCAAAAAGAAAAAAAGATGAAAAAAATAAGTCTCAAAGTTAAAAACATTCAGCTGTGGATGATGACACACACCTTTAATCCCAACAGCCACAGAAGCAGAGGCAGAGGCAGAGACAGGTGAATCTCTGTGTGTTCCAGGCCAACTTGATATGCATAGTGAATTCCAGGCTAGCCAGTGCTCCATTAGTGACACCTTGTCTCACAAAACAAAAATAACAATCAAACATTCAAACTAATGACCAAAATTTTGTGGTGCCCCCATTATCTCCTCATGCTTTCTTCTTGCTGTTCACAGAGAAGAAGAGAAGAAGTGTGGAACTGATCCCCCTCACTGCACGAATGGTCATGGCCCACCTAGTGAACCACCTAGGCCACTATCCTCTGAGTGGGGGCCCTGCTGTGCTGCACAGCCTGGTCAGTGAGAACCACGACAATGCCCATGTGGAAGGAACTGAGCTGTCCTCGGAGGTGTTCAGGAGCCCAAACCTGCAGCTCTTCGTATTTAATGATAGCACTCTCATCTCCTACCTGCAGACGCCAGCAGAAGGACCAGCTGGAGGGACTTCAGGGGGTTCCCTCTCAGATGTGAGAGTCATTGTGAGGGATATCTCAGGAAAGTACTCTTGGGATGGCAAGGTTTTATATGGACCTCTGGAAGGCCCCTTGCCACCCAATGGAAGGAATTCCTCATTTCAGATTTCTGGCTGGCATCATCACACGTGTGGACCTCAGAAAGATTTGTTTCACAGTGATGAGGGAGATGATGTGCTTGACAAATTACTTGAAAACATTGGCCATACCAGCCCCGAATGCCTTTTGCCATCACAACTAAATCTAAATGAGCCTTCCCCAACCCCGTATGCAATGAACTGTGACCAAGAGAAGGAAATCATGGAGACCATCCTGCGCCAGAGCACGCAGGAAGCTGAGTATGTGCAGAGGTGTAACTCGGATTCTGCAGTGAAGGTCACCTGCCAAGGGCAGCCCTCACCAGTGGAGCCCAGGGGACCCTTTTACTTCTGCAGGTTGTTGCTTGATGACTTGGGAATGAATTCCTGGGACAGAAGGTAACCGAGCTCTGAATGTTGAATCAGCAGTTTTATATGTGGGTTATTCTTTTTTTTATTATTATCAATTTGAGGTTAAAGAATAAGAAATAGAAGTTTTTCTGGATTTCAATACAGATTATTTTAGCTACCGGATTAAAGATAGAAATAAAATTAAATGTGTGACACTGGTACACAGCTTGAGTACCAAACACCTGTCAGAACTTTGAAAGCATATGAACCATGCCTTTTTCTTCTTGCCTCCCTGATCATACTATTTCTGTTTTCATACAAGATGCAAATGGACTGCAAAGGTAAGTAAAACACTGTCTAGCCACAGGATTGGTGAGGAATGTGAACTTGATGCACCTCAGACAAAGGCACAGGAGACCAAGAAGATCCAGTGGGTAGTGTGTGTATTGGAGGACACCTTAGAGAAGAGGGTAGGATTGACCTGGACCTGATAGTGGAGCTTTAAAGAGCTTTAAATAAAGGGTGGGAAGAGATTCACAGAGCTGGTATTGAAAACAGACACAAGTACTTGCACACAAGGGACATACTCCTGACTAAAGAGCTTTCCAGTGTCACTAGATGCCAGGGAGATCATTGTGTCTCTGTATACTCAAGGAACATTGGGCTCATTTTGAAAACTTCTGAATTACTTTTCTTTTCCTATGATAAAACACTGTGAAAAAGGCAACTTATAGAAGAACGAGTTTATTTTGGGCATATGGTTCCAGATGCTTAGGGTCTGTAATGGCAGGGACAACAGGTGACAGAAATGACAGCTAGACCACAGCTGAGAACTCATGTCTCCTACTGGTAACAGGAAGCAAAGAGAATGCACTGGAAGTAGCACATGGCTTCTGAAACCTCAAAGCCTGCCCCCAATGATAAACTCTCCAAGCAGGCCACATTTCCTAAATTTACTCAAACAGGACCACCAAGTGAGGAACAAATATTCAAATGTCCAAGAATATGGGGAACATCTTATTCAAACTTCTACAAAATCTATCACGGTTCTTCAGCAAAGTAGATTGTAGATGGATCGATGATGGCTATCTTAGCATTACTATCCTGTGAAGAGACATTATGACCATGGACACTCTTGTAAAGGAAAACATGTAATTGGGGCTTGTTTCCAGGTTCAGAGGTTTAGTCTATTATAATCCTGATGAGAAACATGGCAGCATGCAGGCAGGCATGGTCCTAGAGAGGTAGCTGAGAATTCTACATCTGGATTCTCAGGCAGCAGAAACAAGAGACACTGAACCTAACAAGAGCTTCAAAAACCCCCAAACCAGTGACATACTTCATGCAACAAGGCCACACCTACCCCAACAAGGCTACACCTCCTAATAGTGACAGTCCCTAATATAAGCTCCTGGGGATCGTTCCTATTCTAACCACCACAATGGCTATGTCTGGTATGTGGATTAGAAAATAGCAAAGTTGGTCTGTAGTCGCATAATTTCTTCTTGCATACTTTTTTTTCCATGCAGGAAGAATTTTCATTTGTTGAAGAAAAATTCAAAATTATTGAGAGAGCTAAAAAATCTGGACTCGCGTCAGTGGTACGTGAAATACCTTTTCTTGTCTAACTTTGTGAGCACATGGTATCAAGTACAGTTTCAGGAAAACAGGTACCCACAGAAAAACCCAGAGTTTTTCTGTAGCCCAGAATCTGTTACCATTAACCTTGACTGAACCTTTAGTGTTTTGTTTTGTTTTGTTTTGTTTTGTTTTGTTTTGTTTTCTTCCATTCTGTTTTGTTGAGATAGGGATTCTTAAGTTGCACAGGCTGATCTTCAAAATACTCTGTAGCCCAGGCAAACCTGAAACATATAATTCTTCTGCCTCAACCCCCAAGTAGCTGGGATCATAGGCTTTCTTTAATCTAAAAGTTAAAAAAAAAAAAATCCCATATCTTGTTTTAACTTCATGGCCTCTTTTTCATTACTAACATACACATCATTATGTATATACATAAAAAGGTATTGTTATTAAGTTCTCTTAAAGGTATGTGTATACATACACATGCATGCATAAGTTTTGAGTCTGTTTAGCGTTATTTATATGTATGTGTGTGCTGAGAGTTGTTGACTTGGGAGTGATTTCTACTGTGGTTGCACTGTATACTCCCATCAGCAGTGAGTAAAGCACTCCTAACTCCCACATCCTACCCTGCGTTTATTTGATAACAGCCACTTTGACTGAGATGAGATACAATCTTAAGGCAAATTTAATTGGCATTTCTGTGGTGGCTAAAGATATTGAGCACTTAAAATTATTTGTAGGCCACTTGTATTTCTTCTTTTAAGAACTATTCTGTTCCTTAAACTATTTGTTGATTAAATGATTTGGGGTTTGGTATTCAACTTTGCAGTCTTTATGTGCCTTGCATATCAGACTCTGTCTGACCTTACTTGTCAACGTTTTTTATTTTTCTCATTCTGTAGTTGTCTCTTCAGGATGGTGATTTTTCTCTCTTGCTGTGCAGAAGCATTTTATTTAAGTAATACCGTTTGCTAGTTCTTAGAATTTTTTCCTCTGCTCTTAGGAAATCCCTGTCTACTCTTTTGTCTTGAAGTAGTTTCCCTGTTTTACTCTGGTAACTTCAGGCTAAAATATGTCTTTTTGTTAGTTTTCAGTTTGAGACAGGATTTCTTTGTGTGGCCCTGGCTATTCTAGAACTCAATCTTGTAGACCAGGCTGGCCTCAAGCTCAGATATCCAACCTGCCTCTAGCTCTGTTGGGATTAAAGTCTTGTGCAACCATGACCAGCTTTAAAATGCAGGTCTTTAGTCCATTTTGAAATAAGGTGAGAAATAGGGATCTAATTTCATTCTTATACACATTAAACAGTCTGATTTTCTCTCTTCTGTATGTTTGGCATCACTGTCAAAAAAAATCAGTGGTTATAACTGAATGAGTTTATTTTGAGTTCTCACCCATTGGCCTGTGCATTTGTGTGTCAGTGCCATGCTGTTGTTCAGGTGGCTTTCTTGTGTTTATTCTTAAGTAAATGCTTGGCTCAAGTCACTATTATTTGCATATCAGCTTTATAGCTATGATATTTTATTGATGGTCTTAATTCTTGAACCTATGTATGACAGGAACAACCAGTCAAATAGTGAAGTCTACCTAGAATTAAAGTAGCATAGATACACACATACGCCTACACACACACACACACACACACACACATACACACCCCTTTAACAGGACTTAATAGAAATATCTTTTTGTCACAACACAAATGATGCAATCTAGGGGCCTTGGTTGGGTGGGGTTTTGTTTGTTTGTTTGTTTGTTTTTCTGTCAAAGAGTTAAAGGGCTAAAAAATCTGACGTGCAAAAGGTAGCAGCAGAGAAACCTCAAGTACCACAGACAGAATGAGCAGTTGAAGAAAGGTGTTCGTGGTGGTGAGGAACCATGTATACAGCACGCACAGAGAGAAAAAGGCTCTCTGCAAAGCAGAGGAAGGACTTGGACGTCAGAAATCTATTATCTTCTCCAAAGCTGGGGGTTTTAAACCTCTGAAGAGTTTCCCTCCCCTACTGTAGGTTTAGTCAGTTTGAAGACAAATACAAAGATTGATTGCTTCATAACTGTTGTGTGGCAGGTTCTGATCCAGCCTGGAACTTGTCGAGTCAGTTCATCAGTAGTGGGCCTGCTGACAGGAGACAGTTGTCAGGCTTTTCTCTCAAGTCAGGAGGCTGAGGAAGAAGCTGGCCATCTTGGAAATTCACCATCTTTATTCCCGAGCTCCTCTTCCTCTCTGTCTGCCTCCTGGTCTCTCACTAAGGACTCAGCAGATAAAATCATGTTAGGCTTACTTATAGCTCTATGTCCTTTCACTCTTTCAAAGCATCTAGAATTATGATACATTAATTCATATCAACCATTTTGTGGGAATCAAATCCTTTAGATTTTTCTTCTACCTTCCCATGTATCTTTCTCATCACTCATAGCTTCTTGAAGCCACACACATGTTGACGCATGTACTGTTTTGTGTGTGCTTTCTGGGTGTTGGGAATGTGTGAGGGTGGCTGTTGTGAGCCTGATTCCATCTGCAGAAGGTGCTGTGCCGGCCTTTCCTCCTAGTAACTCTAGTGCTCTGGAGAGTAGTGAGCATTATAATATCCAGAAATAGAAGAAAAGAAAAAAAAATACAGGTTTAAATGATTCCTTTGTAGTTGTAATAGAAAGAAACCATCCTCAGGGCAGATCCTGCAACTCTATTGGTATTTCAAATATTTTCCTTTCTTGATTCAGGTAAAGCTTAATTTGAATTTCAAAAACGTTTAAGAACTGTTTTAGACCTTGATGCTGCCATCCATCCCTTCATTCTACCTCTCCTTTCTCAGGACAGAGACTGAGCCCTCTGGAAATTCCATGAGGGATTTCTGAAGGACTTGAGTACTTGCTTTACTCCCTCTGGTCCTTCGATGTTAAACAATCATTTGGACCCCAAACCCAGCTTTTCTAGCATATGCTGAATTATTCCCTGCTTCTCCAGTGTTAAGTGAATGCACTGGTATCTTGTAATTGTAGCCAATTTGTTGAATGTTAATGCACTTTAGTTACATGAGGTGCAATCGAATTAGCTCCCTGGGGTGCTGTTGCAGTAAAATATGGCTTTGGGTAGCTGATTGGCAATCTTCTGCCCTTTGATTAACCTTCACTTAAAACCCCAACTCCTGGACTTATGTCTGGCGTCTTGGCCTCTAAATGCACATCAATTTATTTAATGGGAAAGGATATTTTTCAAGATTGTCTTTTAAAAACCTGAACTCCATCTGGGGCTCTTCACCTGTAGGGAAATCTGGTCTGTGGCATAGATTGGTCTAATACCATGCAAGAATACATCTTGTCCCTCAACTTTCAGAACATTTTTATTCCTAGTATCAATTTATATCACTGTTGTGTGGGCACAGTGCCTTTTTTACATGTCTTGAGAAAAAGTCTTGCAGCTAAGGTCTGTATACTGTGTGTGATGGCTATACATACAAATCACTGTGGGCTTTCTTGCCACTGTGTGGTGAAGGAAAGGGTAAAGTCACATTTTCCTTTGTTTGGTTTTAAAATCTGACAGCACAAGAAAACAGAACTCTTCTGGTCTAGTCCTAGTAATAAAGAAGAACTGCATTCTAACGAGGAAGGCAACATTGTTGATTGTATGTATATGTGTTCCTGAATGACCTGCTCCTCCATGCACTGGTTGTGCAGCTTGTAGATATGAAGTGCTGTTGATGTTGTAATTACCATTTCAAAAGCCTGGTGCTAATAAGGCCAGGCACAGTGTCTGCATCTTAGCAGGCTCTCTGCATTGCTAATATTTTGGAGGATGTGAAATTTGATGAATGTTTACAACTAAAGGTCACCTTTCCTCACACCCACATCAGTCAGTCCTCCTTCATTTGAGCTTAGCTTTGTGTGCTCCTACACAGAGTTAACGAGGACTCAGAATGGAATAGTCTTGGGCTTTAAGGATAAAACACTGATGTATTTCAGATAAACCGAAGGTTGGGGTTTTTCGTAAATTGAATGCTAAAAACTTTTAAGATGTAAAGATAGTTGCAGAGAGAAATCAAGTAAGTATGCTTTTGTTGAAACCACATTTTAGTATGTCTGTGGCCATCATCCAAGCTGCCAAATTATTACAGTTCTTGAGGTAAGCCAGTCATGATGTAGGGGGTCCTTCTTGTTGTCCCTTGCCTGTCTCTCAAGGCAGTAAATGTTATGACAATTTCTAGATTCCCTAAGGTCTTGACTACAAGACTGTACACTCTCTGTGGGGTTCATCACTATCAAAAAAAAAAGTGTCCTCTTTACAGCATCTCTTTCCACTTCCTACAGTGTGCAGCCATGTTGTTTGTTTACATGTTCAAGTTGACAGTTGTTCTTTTTATTCTTTTTCTGTATTTTCTGATTTTTCTTCACATGTGTTTGTTCCATGAGAATAATGGGAGGATGAGTAGCTAGCTAATGAATAGGAGAGAATTCCTCCTCCAGTGATTTATATAACATTTTAGTTTAGCTTCCATTAGCCTTGCTTAATAAGTAGAAAAATAATCATGAAGAAGGAAATATTTGAGAATTTGTTAAAATATGGAGTCCAGATCTACCAATTTGGATGTCTAATCATATTACAGTGTTGAGATATTAAATAATTAAACAATAGAAACATTTCCGCATTGCTGAAGCACTTGATGCTTTTTCCTATGCAGTGTTTTCATGATGTAATGCAAATGTGAGAAGGGTGGGGCTGCCCCGGAAGTGGAGATCTAATTCCTTTACCATTGAGGCTACAGTAGAATAAAGTTCATGGACTGTTGCTGTCAAAGGAGTGGTTCTTGATTAAGCTGCATCTGAACAACAGTTGAGCTTTTATCTCCAAACTCCTACTAAATAACTTGATAGGGTGGATTCCAGTTATTTTAATACTTTACTAGCCATTACACATTCAAATATACCGTCAAATATCTGGTCAGTTTAACAGAGACTTAGCTGAGCCCATACTATACATCAAATACTTTTTTTAAAAAAAAAAAAAAAGAAAGAAACAAAGAAAAAGAAAAGTCAGGCCTCCTTTCTTCAACGTGCATATCATGTTTACATGATTTGACAGGAAACCACCACAGATCTATCACAGAACAAGTAAATAAAGAGCTTATCTATCCAAAAGTATCCAAAAGACCATGCAGAACAACTGTGCATCATATTCTGTGTCCTCACAATAGTCAGAACACATCCTTTCACAAAGAAAATACCTAAGTGTTTCCATTTCTCAGAAAGTCTTAGCACGTCTCATGCCTCTCATCGATCCCGAGTCACAGTACATGTCTACTTGAAATGCTTTAGAGGACAGTGTTCATTAAGCATGGAAAGAACCTGGTGGATAATGTGCTCTGATTGGTACTATTTTAGTGTCTCCAGTGTCTCGAGTGTAATTTCCTTCTTCTTTGACCTTGTGTCTCCTTTCAGTCACCTCTGCAAAGCAGATGATACAGTAATAACACTGGTCTTCTTATGGAGTGAGGCTTGCAAAATTCAAATAAGTTCATTCATCAGCCACCTTAGAATAGTGACTGACCCTTCGTGAATGCCATTAGCAGTCATGCTGGCCATACCAGTTAAACAAGACTCCACACACCCATGTTCTAACTCCTTTAAATTTAAACATTTATAGCCGCGAGACCCATAAGATCGCAGTGTTTTACATTGCTGAAGGGCAAGAAGACAAGTGTTCCATTCTAGCCAATGAAAGAGGAAGTCAAGCATATGAAGACTTTGTTGCTGGTCTTGGATGGGAGGTAATCAACTTCATTCACTATGTGGTTGCTGACAATCAGTATTTAAAGCAGACATGAGTTGTGTGTGTTCTTAGTTATATCTCCATATTCAAATGTAGCATGCATAGAGTTCTTGAAGGCTGCACTGGCCTTAAAATCTGCTTGCTTCATTTTACTACTCTATGTATGGATCTTTGCTTCCCTTTAATATCTTTTCATTAGCTTTGCATAAGAACTATATAATCATATAGGCTCAGGACTGTAGTTTGTGACAAAAGATAAGTGTGGTCACTGAGGACTTGAGAAAAAGGCAATGGCTTGCTAGCTGAAAAATGAATGAGGGCCTGGATAAATTGAGAAACTGAGACTAGAATGCTGTTGGCTGTCACTGCAGTTCCTTGATGCACAACTCCAGAATGACTGATGAGGACTTGGGTTTCCTTATTGAATGGTCAACTACCGGATGTGTACACAGAGGCTGTGAACATAAACCTAGAGGAAAGCATGTCCCTAGAATGTGAAAAGTAGACTGAGTGGGAGAGGTGTATGGGGTGTGTGTGTGTGTGTGTGTATTGGGTTTTGTGTCTTTGTGTCTGTATATGCTGTAGCACATGCTGGGATCACAGCCAGGTCCTTGCATGTGCCAGGCAAGCACTGAACTGCTGAGCCAGACCCTCCTTACATTTTGATAGTGGTTTTCACACAGCATGGTTGCAGACCAGTTTCAGGTTTGATGTCCATTTCTTTCTTTAAAAATTAATTTTGTTGACCTTACATTTGTTTGTAATCAGAAAGAAATATATTTAAATGAAAATTGTTCATTCTCTCAGCACACACTCCTGCCTAATGAATAAGGTTAGCTCACTTTTGACCCTCACCTTTTGCTCTGTGACCTTTATCAGGTGGATCTCTCAACCCACTGTGGGTTTATGGGTGGTCTTCAGCGCAATGGCAGCACAGGACAGACGGCCCCTTACTATGCTACCTCGACTGTGGAAGTAATTTTCCATGTTTCCACTCGGATGCCATCAGATTCAGATGATTCACTCACCAAAAAGGTAAGGGGGCTTCTCAGGGACAACACCTCACTGCACTCCTGTGTAAGTGAGGCTCTCTAGGGCTGGATGGTGACCAAGCCCTGGCAATTTTCCCATGGTTCAAAGTCAAGTGTCGTTTTTCCTCAGGCTATAGTTGTGGTGAATCTAAAATACTAACTTAGCACAACCTGAAGGCCTAAGGTTAAAGACTAGGAAGAAAAAGAGTCCTTATCGAGGCTACTTTTGGATCTTTTTTCATGTTAATTACCTGAGAAACAATATTTTTACCTTATAGGTTGGCAAAGGCCATAACACATAATGGCCATTCTGACAAAAAAAGTGCTAGTAAGGCTCTAGGAAAGCATCCTACACATACCCCAAGGTTGCTAGGATGAGCTGCCAGTGTTTGTCAGAGTGACTCTGCCTGCAGGTATGTTGCTGCCCAGATGTCCCACCTCAAATGCTACCCCTTTGCTCTCTCTGCTGCTCCCAAAGGAACTCCACCAGAGAAGCAGTGCCTTGAACTCCCCAGCCTGTAGAATGTTTACTTGAAAAACCTTGGTTTTGGATGAGGAACACATTAATGGGAGAAGAATGTAGTCTGGTAAGCAGACCACTCCTATAAGTTTCTAGGTGAACAGAGCATCCCAAAGCAACTATGACGTGTTTTCTCTGAGGGCTAGTCGGTGACAAAGCCTTCATTCCAATTAGACACCCACTCTCCTCTAACAGCACAGATGTAAGGATGTGAGGGCAGTATCTCAAGTACTAAGGCTGCACTTTGGGAGTGTGGAGCCATGGTTAGAACTAGGGCCAGCCAAGGCTCAAGTGTGTGCCTTCATTGTTTTACCAGTTTGTACCTCTGGTTTTCATGTATTAAATAAGATTTAAAATGGAGCCCACAACACAGTATTGTTGAGTCAAGTAAGTGAGACAATGCCAAAAAAAATTGCTTAGCCTAATACCTGGTAGGAATTCTCTGGCCATCAGCCCTTGTCATTGTCCACTGGAGTAATTGATTCTTTTTTCCTTGCCCCATTAGCCGGATGATTGATATTAGCTCATGGGCCCTACTGTATCTGCTTCATTTCTTTTGTCTCTAGTTTTGCCTTTTCACTACTGTAGTCACAGATGTCTGGACTGCATACATGATGAACAGTGCATGTGAGACATCATCAGAACTCAGGTCACAGACAATTTCCATAGTGATCAAGTGTCTCAGATGCATAAAGCACAATTTGCATTCAGAAATTCAGCAGCCTTTCACCAGCATAGCCCTGCATACTGCCTCGGCCTCCATAGGCTGGGAACCTCACAGCTAGTGGGAGTGCTAGCCATGTGCTGGTTCCCACAGGTGTGAAGGAGCCACCTGCCTGGCCAGCTTGGGTTCTGATGGCTGCAGTGTTCATAGAAAGGAGGACCCTGCTATTGGGTAGCTCACTGGTATTCTAGAGTCTGGAGTCGCTTTACCAAGACCCCAGGCTGTATTGACATGTTTTATAAAACTTGGGATACCATGTAAATGTCTTCATACTCTGCATATTGTCCCCATATTCTTTAATTTTTCATGATTGACAATTATGTATCAAAGACAGATTTACATATAAACTGTTTTGAACTATTTCTTAAGTAAAAAGGCTTTTTACTTTGTTTTTATACTATTTTCTTGACGTAATGCTGCTATAATGTTCCAAGTCTTAATCTGCATGAGAGATTCCCCACTGTAATATTCAAAGAGCAGCTGAAACCTTTTGCAGCTCTAAGATGTAGCATCATTAGCGATAAACCCTCTTTACCAGGATGTCTCACAGCTAGGCAGAAAAAAATCAGTCACATAACAGCAGCCCCCGGTTCCTTGACTTACTCTAGCTAAATTGTCCCTAACAGCTTAAAAATGAGCTGCAAAATTCTAAAGTGATTCATGCTCTGTTCTGCCCCTGTCATGGGGGGACTTTTTCAATTCCGCAATGTGGTTGCAACCCCATACTGAACTCTTGATCCTTCACTGCAGAAATTTGTTAGCTGTAGCTAGATTAGATTTTTCACAGCTAATCTAACTGCTGTAGGGGTTTGCAGAGTGGGGACAGAGCTGTGCTATTGGATTTGTCCAATTCATTTGACTCCAGGACTATAATTGCACTTATGTCTTACAAGGCTTTTATAGCCTCAGGCTGGCCAGCCACATGAAAAACAAATTGGCAGTGATACAGTAGAGTGAAAGGGGATGAAAGGCCCACATTATCAGTCTCTAAGCAGCTCTGTTCTGGCAGGAAGTTTCTTGGTTAATTTACAAATAAAACTTAGATTTTAGGATGGGCACACTGTCAGCTGAACAATGGGGATGTCAGGCCTGACTGTTACTTAGTAAAAGTAGCAGCCGGGCCCGCTGAGGAGCCCAGATTCTTCAATCAAACAGACGACTCCTTCTGGAGCCAGCTGGCGATGTAATGCAATTAGTCGGGAAAGGAGGTCAGCCTATTAGGTGTGGACCATGACCAGTGTCACCAGTGGCGTGCAGGCGTGCAGCCTGGCAGCAGCAGGCAGAACAGCTCAGGCAGAGGGGCTTTAGAACTCTGTCAGTCAGGACTGGGGATAGCAGAATATGGGATTGATTTCTTGAGGCTCAAGAGCCTGTTTGTTCTGAGCATGGTAAGCCTTGAGGCCTTCTGGACCCTATTGCATAGTGGAAGCAGGAGCCAATGTGAATGCAGCTCCCTTCTAGGGAGGCATCGTCTCCTCCTGAAGTCACATACCTCCAGTCAAGTTGACTTGTCCCTTAGCAAACTTGTGGGTGTGTTTCTAACTTACAGGCCTATAATCAAAGTTCTATAAAACCCACAAAGTGACATCTCTTTATTGAGATCCCCTTTGAATTGAGTACCATTTTAGGTTTCCAGAATGTTCCCTTATGCTCTGATTTGGGTAACCATGTTGTGATCTGTTGTAGGTAGTTTGTCTACATTGGTTTCATTTGTTTTATGTCCTTGGGTTCATATCATAGGCACAAGAGGGTATAAGTTTTGTACTTTTGTTCCAACTATCCCAGTCAATGGGTTCCGTGGCCTTAGCTCTTGGTTTTTCGGTTCAGTTAATTAAACTGTAACATGTCCAGAAATCTAAGGTGCATGACACTGAAAGAAGCTCTGAGTGAATATTACACAAATAGTTCTTTCATAATTGCAGAATTGCCACAGTGGGAGGAAGGGTCAATTAGTGTGAATTGCTCTCCTAATGCTGGAGTTTTCTCAGAATACTGATGCAAATAAAATTAAGAGAAGGTTTACTGGGGTTATATAATTGAATAACACAATTTAGAAAGGGACAGAGTAACTGCAAAATTTCAGTAATCAGTGTATCATCTCAGACTAAGTGCTGTACTCTGCCCTTGTGGATGAAAAGGAGAGACTGTTGGTATTAGGTGTGGCATTGTGTAGTAACTGCAAGGTTGAACAGTGTTTGGTAAGTGGATTGTCTCCATTTGGTTGCTTCTGCCAACATCATAACAAGAATGGTACAGGGTCAACTCTCTTTGGAGGATGAGGGCTGTAAGCTGAGCTTCAGGGTAGCCCTACTTCTTGCAGTTAGCTCCTATTGCTCTAAATCCTTCCCATAGTTTCAATTAGATCTAATCCACATTTACCATAGAAAGCTGTCCATCTTGTCTCATTGGCAATCCTAACTCTCATGCTATCACTGCAGAAGGACTGAGTAGCAAAACACTGCTCCAAGGTCTTTGGCTGTTGGGTTAGAAATGAGAAAGGCAAGTAGGCAGGAGTCGGTGATACCTCAGATAAGAATAGGACTGGACTGTAACTCAGAGTAGCAGTGTAGAGCACTGTGTGTGCATAGGACTCTAGGTTCCATTGTCAGTACTGCTAAAAGAACAAAGGAGAGAAAAGTGCGACTAGAGGGGCACCCTCAGCTGTGAGAGCTTGGTGCCTTATAAAGAAAACAACAAAACCTTTATGTTAGAGCTAGGTTGACTGTACTTGGTTTTTCTTTTTTGCCAGCTACCTTTTGAACCTTTCATACGTGTGTGGGGTATTATTGAGTGAGGAGGAGAAGAAAGATGCACTGGGTAATGTTTGCATTCACAAAGGTTGTTGACTCCATTAAGTTTCTCTGGAGCGTTGTGGCTTGTGCTGGGCTCCCACAGCTGTGCCTTTCTGGAGCTTCTCTTCAGACCAGTTGACTCCCGTCCCTTACTCCATAGAAGCACGAAAGTGCAGATGCAGGTCCCTGTAAATAATTGATGTGTAGTGTCACTTCCAGAAGTAGACAGGCAAAATAAACAGGCACTGCAACAAACAGCTGCCTTTGAAACTTGATGACTAGAAAAGAGGCCATGTTGGGGTCACCTTGGGTATTCTCTATGATCAAATCACATCTAAAAAAATAATATCTATGCTAACATATTTCAGATGTACACTATTCCAGAGTTTCTTTTTGCTATTTTTTTTTAAAGATGAAGCTAGAACATAAGTTCTGACATAACATCACAGTTTTATTAAGGTCCTTTTAAGATTGGTCCCTTGTTCTTGGATATTGGATGGCATTCCCTGCTCTGAGGCAGACACCTCGTTCACTCAAGCCTTCTAAGCGCCTGCCTCTGCCATGAATCACAACTTCAGAACTTTAGTTCAGGCCAGTATTCTCACCACTGCAGTCTGTTCCTTTTAGTTATGCTTCTAGGCTTTCTCAAATGATTTCTTTGCAGCTTTGGCCAGATTCGGTTGGTAGGCTTACCACATGGGCAGTTTATCAGTGATATTCTTGCATCTAGCAAAGGTCTGCCCTACAAGAGCTTGTAAAGGTCTCTGGAGACCTTTCCAGGGCCTTCTTGAAGACACCAAGAGTCTGTGGTTTTTTTGAGTTCATAATCTCTTTATTTATAAAATGTCAAAATAAGCGGGCTGAACTACTTGAAATATATCAGTAAAATAGCTTTTGAAGTGAACTGAGATCAGGAATGTCCAACTGAATGGAGCCCAACACAAAACTGTAAATTTACTTATAGCAGTAAGAGATTTTGTGTGTGTGTGTGTGTGTGTCTGTGTGTGTGTGTGTGTCTGTGTGTGTGTGTCTCTGTGTGTGTGTGTGTGTGTGTGTGTGTGTTCTCCCAGCCTGTGGGCCATAGGTTGACTGTTCCTGGCTTGAATAATCATGAGTGGAGGCTGCAGTCTCTGCCCTTCTCTCCAGTGCTGTTCTGTGCACTTGGCATAGAGAACAGATAGAGAATCCCTGAGCAGGCACTTCTTGTAAGATGAGGTAAGGATGGAGTTACTCAAAGTCTGTGGGAAGGGTAGACAGCATTAGCATTTCATGTGAGCATTTTGGACATCTTTAAATGCCAGGTGCTAGTATTCCCACCAAAGTTAAGTTTTAATTTAAATTAAATATATCTGTTTCCTTAAAAATATAATTTCTTACATCCTTTTTCTCACAAATTTATCTTGGCACCAGTTTCTTACAAATTGTCAACAATTGTGTTGGAGTAGCTTGTGTTATCTTATTTTGTTATTTGTTAATAACCACTGGGTTAAGAGGCTCAAAGTTTTAAAGCAATAAAGACTAGAAAGTGTGATGTCATTTTTTGTTGAGAAACATTCTCAGCACTATAGGATAGGACTGATGTTGAAAAAGAATTCTGTGTAAAAGAGAACTTAAAGATTTCTTCCTCCATCCCACTGGAATGTACCCTTGGTGCTTCTCTGTGTGATCTTAGAACCAAACCTGCATCCTAGCAGATCAGCTGAAGTTTTACGGAATAGCATATTTTTGAATCCTGAGTGTAGTAGCCTGATTTGGACTAAAATATTTTTGGCCTCTGAGTTTTCTAATTCAATTTGTAAGCCACAGCCCCTCATAAACTGTTGTTAGCACCTCAGTTAATAAAGAGCCAATTTGCTATTGCAGCTTCGTCACCTGGGGAATGATGAGGTCCACATCGTCTGGTCTGAGCACTCCAGGGACTACCGCAGGGGTATTATCCCAACAGCCTTTGGAGACGTCTCCATCATTATTTACCCAATGAAGAATCATATGTTCTTTATCACGATAACGAAGAAGCCTGAGGTACGCTCCCTCCATTGTTGCCCTGACCCCTTCATTTACCACTGGGTTCACGGTTCTCAAAACCCTAATGAATGTTGCAAATATCTGAATGTGTGTGCTAGATAGGAATTTAATATGAACTGTGATATTCAAAAGAACTCTAATCATGAGCACAAAATTCCGTATCGTATTATTCGAAAATTATGTTAGAAAAATATATGGGCTTTTAAATAATTTTAATGTTTTAAAATGTTATAATTTTAAGAATATTATAATTTTTAACTGGGGGACATTATTAATAATAGTAAGAATTGATGGAACTCCATTATCACTTAGTTACTTGGGGAAAAACCATGGGTCTAGAATCCAGCCCTGTCTGATGGATGCGCACTGGTCACTGAGCCCTGACTGGTGCTGATTGCGGTCAATCCTGAAGGATTCTGGACATGACCACAAAGACACTGGTACCCTGAAGCAAAGCCCACATGATGAGTATTAACAATCAAAGCACCTTGCTAGAGAATCAATTCAGCCATGTCAATTGGTATTGATCATGGGCCTGGCTGGAACAATCCAATGGTCTATGTCCTGTGTACTAATCAGCTGCAGTTTCAGTCTTCGTCATGCCTTTACTGGTATTTAATACTGTTGCTTTGTAGTGACTTACTTTGTGTTCAATTCATTAAGAAGAGTCTTCTTAGGTTTGAAATTAAATATATTAAGCATATGGGCCATTCTTTTAGAAAAAAAGTAAGATTTGTTTTCATCCTGATAGTAAATATAATATTTATTTACATCTCAAAATTATTCTCCTGGAGGAGCTCAGCATTATTCTGAAAACTGTTTTTAAGCTTTAAAAAGTAGATCATGAGATTTGTTGTTCTAATTCAGATTTGTAACCTAAAGTGTTATATTAGCATTAAATGTGCTAATAGGTGAAAAAGTGCTTCAGACATTGCCTGGCACCTGGGTAAAAGCTGCTTCCATGTGAGGTATGGTTGCTATCATAGAGTAAAATCAGTAGTTTTAAGCTTAACATATACATTAATTCTCCAATGTGTAGGCTCTCTCAATCCAGGAAAGCCTCATAAAATAAAGGAGTCTTCTCTCTGTTCATAGAAAGAAGATGTCAGAATTTATATTAGATATTGTGCTCCTCTGATTCAAACCTCTGTGCCCTATGTATGGCAGGTTTTCAGTTTGTACTGTAAGTAATTGGCTCAGTGCTAGCATTTGTGTTTGTTTATGAAGACAGAATTATACATAAGAATTAAAGTGATAACTTTAATCTTAAAGAAGTAATAGATTTAGTACTTTCTTGCTTTCAAAATTTAAAAAAAAAATGCTTTTCTTTTATATGTAGTGTGGAACTAGTTTTATTAGGTCATTTTCAGGATAATCCTCTAAAATGTCAGAATGTCCTTAAAATGTCCCCTTTATTTTTAAAGTGAATAAAGACCATGAAAAGCCTCTCATTTCACTCTAGTGTGACAAAAGTGACATTTCTCAAGATAGCATAAGATGCATCAAAAGCTATTAATATGCTTTTTAAATTTTCCTACAAAATATGTTTAAATTTGATAAACTTGGTCATCAGTTCTTACAAGATGAACTGAGAAAATTGGCTTCTTAATATTTTAACTCAAAAAAGCCTGAAGAGAAGAAGAGAATAATGGGAAACTGGAAACTTAGTGTTATCCCTACATTTAAAGTACAAACCATTACAATGTAATAAAATTAATCCAGACATTTCCAGGGCAAGTGTAGCTGACCTTTTGTTCACCAGCCACTGACCCCAGGGTGAACGCAAGAGGCTTTCGGAGGGAGAGTCTGTTTGTTTGGCTTCAGTCCCTGGTATTGAAATTGCATTCCCTAATCAAATGAAAAGGCTGTCCTCTCTATCAGGTTACAGAATCCATGGCAACATTTGGCCTTTTATATCCATAATGTTAGCCTTTTTGTTTGCATCTAAGTAGAGACACCTGGAGCAATGCGAACATTAACCGATTTAGCATTAATAGCTTCATTATATAAGAATTTCTGATCAGATAGCTGTTACTTTTGTTATATTGCTTCAGCTTGTATTGTTGTCATTTTTTATCTCCTTGCTTGGCAACCAGGCAATGATTTGCAAATTTTTTTTGTCTTGATTAATTAAGCAATATAATTATCAGTAACCGTGATGCAGTCTTTGCTCAACAAAGCTTCTGAGAGAAAACAATGGTAAGTCTGTTAGTATGAATGCATTCCACGCGTCCCAGATGCATGAGGATATTATGGACAATGAGGGGAAAGGCCGCCTGTGAGCGAGGACAAAGGGTGCCACGCAGACTCGACACACTGCACATACCGCCAGGGACATGCTGCGGGCTCCCTGGGACACAGACGCCTCGTTAGATTACAGCTAGTCAGCAGAGATTAATTCTCAGCCATTTGGTGCAATAATTTACCCATTCCCCAGTCTTTTAACTAGTGTTCCTTACTGTGGAACTGAAGGCTTTGTACTCAAAGGTTTACTTAACTCTGTCCACTTTTAGGAATCTCCACCAAAATCATTATTTCTCCTTAGAGATTGTACTAACACAGTTGCTTGAGTTGAAGAATATTCCTGTAGAAGACAGAATATGCATACATTTCAGAGACTGCAGGTGGAGTCAGTAGCAATCTCTTACCACCTGTGTATTTCATATGATTATAATGTGACTGTGGCCAAATACATTTATTTTACACATTTCTGGGTAGCCATACTTCTCTAAGAATAATTCTAATCCCTTTTAGGAGGGGGAAGAAACTCATCAGTACACAAAAGTCCTGCTCATTGGATAGAGTCATGCATATTCAAATTGTACTTTCATTCACTTGGCCTCATTAATAGCCTATGTGATAATGTGGGGCTATTTGTAATACAAGCTCACAGGCAGCATTACTTCCAAGTCCTTTGAAATTTAACATATTTCGCTTTTTCATTCCATACACTCCCCCCTTAAATATACAAATTATGTGACTGGCAGAGTCCGCCCCTTCTTAATAATGCCCCACGTTTGTAAAATGCTACATTGAAGAAGCATGAGTGTGCTCGTGTGAGGGCACAAAACCCTCATGGCTGAGAGTCTGCTCACTTCACGAACATTGTATTGAATCTCTGCCTTTTTCTTTAAAAATCAATGTGCTTTGCAGCATTATTTCATTGTTAAGTTGATTTCCAAATAAGTCCATTCCCATATCCATAAATATTAACACAATAAAATTTTGATCATAGAAAAGAAATGCATAATTATCAGACTTAATTTTTTTTGCCTACTTTTATTAGTCAGCCACTCACGAAAGACTTACCCACAATACAGTGAGTGACTTAAAGGGTATGTGAAGCCCTTTGCCTTGCCTTTTCTTAAGTTCTCCTGACTGTCCATCTGAAGGGTGCTGTTAAAGCGGTAGCTGGCTCTCTTGTAGCTTTAGGGTGTGTGGGATGGAGATGCATGAATGCATGCAGATGTATAGGAATGTATCCTTCTTCTGGGTGATGCCTAGCTCAGGATCTGTGTCTGGAGCAAGCACCTAGAAAATGCCAGTCAAAAGGTTAATGTACCAGAAGTCACAAGAGCATTTAAACCACATAAGACTTAGAGGGGGCCAGCTTGGACATCTATGTTTTTGCAAGGAAATGTTTTAAGCTTGCTGGAGTTTCCCCATTATACAGGAAGCGTGTTTGCCTTTGCTGCATGGTTTGTAAATTAATCTTGGTTTCACATTATAATTTTCTTCAATATTTATCCCAGCCAAACAACCCTTTGGAGATTCAATCATGTACCTTAAATATTCTGGAGAATTCTCAAGGAAATAAATTAACTTTGGAAAATACTAAGAGTTATTTACTTAGAAAAGATCATTGAAAATACCAAGGAACTAGATTTTATTAAACTAAGTTATTAAATGGATAGCTGCAGTGTGTTCTGCTTGAGTCGTGTGTTATTAACATTGATTTTAGTAAAGGAGTGGCAATGAAGAGGCAGCTGCTTGCAGATGTTGTTTTAAAATCAAACTTGCTAATACACTGGCACTGCTAATAGACGAATTTCCTAGATACTATGGATTTATATTATCACTTTTGTTCAGGTTTTGAGAGATTGAGCCACCCACAAGCAGGTGCCAAAGAATAAAGAACATTTATTTTACAAAAGGGCCTTGATAACAAACATAAGAAAATCTGAAGCACATCTGTATACTCTTCTGGCTTTTGAGATCTGTTTTTCAACAGAATTTCCTTAAACGTTGGCACCATTTTCCTGCTTCTTACTTAGTCCTCGACACATCTGTCTTCCTCTTGTGGGTTGGTCTTCTCTCCTTTGCTGAGTGTACACCAGATAGCAAACTGCAGCCCAGGCTTGGTGCCAGGCAGCAAGACAGCTCTCATTCCCTACTCCTGAGCTGCCACAACAGGAAGTGCCTCTTTGACCCAGTAGACAGGACATGCTCCAGGCTCCTCATGCAGCTCCTAAGGTCCTGCACATGGGTGCTCCCCAGCTGACTGTTTTGCCTGGTGTTGGGAGTGCACTGGGCTCCACTGTGGAAGGAAACACAGCCCACTACCTAGGAGGTATATTTGCTGAGCCAAACTCAAAGTTTAGGATCTTGCTTTTTGTTTTATTTGGGTTTTATTTCTCCTTCTTTTGTATAAGGCATATAAGTAAGAACGATTACTTTCTTTTCTTTCTTTTTTTTTTTTTAAGACAAAAATCTCACAGAATCCACCTGCCTCTGCCTCCTGAGCACTGAATGAAAGGTGTATGCTACCACACCTGGCCAATGACACTTATTTATTTAAAAAAATAAGCTATAAATGAACTTTCAAAGCATATCACTAAAGATAGTAGGAAATCGTTCTTATGGCTCTTTTTCTTACTTTGCTTATTTTTTTATTTTTAAATTTTTTTCCGATGCCTGGTCTAGCAATGTGGAAGTAGTCAGTAAATACATAAATAAGTGGTTGGGTAAATAAGTTTTCCAGTAGGAATGGGTATCAC